GTTCGCAAAGAGCATGATGCGCGATCATATTCCCACCAACTACGAGCTGTGTCTCAGCTTGCTCCACGAGTGCATCGTCGAGTCGAGCGCCTCCTAATCGACAATTTCAGCATTCTCACGCAGGGTGGATAGGCAACGTCACAAGTTGATATTTTGGGCAGTGACAGCGGGCGACTTTGCTATGCGAACAGCTCATGCAGGGGCTTTGTGACGGCGTCAATGGTGGTAGTGGATGGTGGGGTGGTCCAGTCCGTGTCGAGCAGGGCGAATTCGAGCTGCGTCCACGTATCTACGACGGACTCGCTGTCGAGATCGAGCGTGGACGAGAGGATGGCGTAGAGATGTTCTGCGGTTGCAGTGCGTACGGTCGGCAAAGCATGTGCCAAGAAAAGCGGTACACTCTCCAGCAGCATTTTTCCCGCACCGGGCTGCCTTTCTGGCTGGGCGAGGAGGAGATTGATTGCCAGCCTTGCGGATGCCGTGAGTCGTGGGATGCTCTTGATCCGCTGGATACCCGATGTCGCCATGCGTACGAGCCGAACCACCTGCTCTGCCACCGGTTGGGACCCTCCACCCTCGAGCACGAGGTTGATCGTGTGCAGGGCGGGAACGAACACCCTGTTGTCGCCGAAACATCGCTTGGCCAGGAGAAACAAATCGCCCAACAGCTCCGTCCGCGCATAATCGGGTCCACTCGTGAGATTGACAAGTGCTGGGCCGATGATCCGTTCGCCCAAGTCGGTTTTCGATCCCACACTCACCACGAGGCCTTCGAGGATGGGCGCGCGGTAGGCTTGTACGCGGAGCAAGTGGACGATGCGCGGAAACGCCGCCTTGGCCTCTCTAAACTTGGGTTCCTCCACCTCCTCATCCAGGTCGCCGTAGGTTGACTGCACGACGTCGTAACCGTGCGGTTTCGACTCGTGCGACGAGGAATAGGCGCGGTAGATCGCCAGCACGCTCGTGCCCGCAGTATGTCGCACGTGGTCGATCCGCTCCGCAGCCTGTTTCCACAAGGCCGCCACAACGCTGTGAAAAGCGTCGCCGAGCCATTCGTCGACGTCGAGCTGCAGCGTCTGGAGTCGCACCAGCAAATCGCGCAGTCCAACGATGCAGCCAAGCCTAACCCACGATCCAACATCGCCGCGCTGGTCCATGGTATAATCGTTCAGCCCAGCTAGCATGGCTTGTACAACCGAGCGCAGCGTTGCGGCGGTACACACGCGTGCAAAGCTGTCTCCGAGCCCCAGCACCGCACGTGCCAGACTGTCGGCCGCATTCCGCCTCGTCTCGATGTTCACCGCATGCAGCGCGTTCGGAGCGTCCTTGGTACCGGCCTGGCCGATTGCGATGAGGTGTGCAATGGCAGCGTTGAAAGGCGCTTGTGCGGTGTATTCGACGGCGCCCAGGAGGAGCGCATTACTCTGCTGCTGAGCAACGCTGAGGTGCGGCCACGCCTCGATGGTCGAGTGGATCTTGGCGGTCAGGTCGACACTGCTGCCGAGGCTGGCGATGGCGTCGGCAGCGGCGCTGTGAACGGGCTCTTCGGGCCGCGCGAGAGCGAGATTGAGCACCTTCTCCCACGTCTGCGTCTCGTCGGGCGAGGTGGTGAGCGTGGCTGTGTGGGCGGCGCCGATGAGCTGGCACGCGGCTTGGACGAGCGATGCAGCGCCGAGCGCACGAAACGCACTCGGGCGCACCAGGTCGAGCAGCCCAAACGCGCGCACGCGCATCGCCTCGTCCACATTGCCAGTGAGCGTGCGCGACATGGCGCTTGTCTCGGCGAGACTCAGCAGTGTACCGTGCAGCACTGCCGTATCGGCCGTGGTGATACGACGTACCAAACGCTCCGTAAGCTCCAGGAGCGATTCTGGGTGCGCTACAGCGATGCGCGCCAGCGCCTGTGCACCGAGTCTGCGCATCGCCGCGTCCCAGTGCACCGTGACGACGTCCACCAGGTGGTCGACGACGAACGGTCTGTACTCGGTGAACTGCGCTACGCTCACCGCGCACTCGAGAAACGCAGTCCGTCGGACGCTGACGGCATAGAATTCCGTCATGCGGATCACGTCAATGCCGTGCGGAAAGAGTGCGAGTCTGCCGACGCACTCCTGGAACGCAGCGCTTGCAGCACGGCGGATGGACACGTCGCGGTCGAGCGTGGCGACAACGAGGAGCCGGCGCGCCAGCTCCATCGCGTGCGGGCGGATGGACTGGGTATCGTTGGACCTCGCCAGGGCCCATACCACGTAGCACGCCGCATCGCGCACATTCGCACCCACCGAGTGCGCACCCCGGCGCACGTCGAACAGCAGCGCGCGCAGCATCCACGGCAGCGCCTCGGCGAGCGTGTTGGCGAACAGCAGCCCACGACGCGCCAGCTCGGCAAGCGCCATGCATGTGCCCTGCCATGTGTGCTCGGACACGGCGCTCAGATCGAGCGTACCCGCGTCGAGGTTCGGGATGTTGATCTGGAACAGCGAGATGATCGCCTCGACCACCTGATCCAGAAAGCTCGTGGGGAGACGGTCGCACACGCGCGCAAGTCCCTTGGCTGCACTGTACCGCACCACCGTGTCGTTGTGCTGCAGCGCCTCGATGAGCACCGATATGAACGACTCGATTTCCTCTGGCACGTCCGACTCGTCCTCCTCGTCGTCCACCGTACGAATCGCCGCTTCTGCACCCGCTCCGAGGACGTGCAGCTTGTTGGCACGACGCCGCGCGCGCGGTCGCAGCAGCTTCATCGCGAGCCGACCGGTGAGCTTGGTGCGGAACTTGGCCACCAGTCCGTTGCGCTCCAAGCTCGAGGTGGGTGCTGCGTACGACTCTGCAATGGCCTGGATGGGAGCAAAGTGCTCTGCGATAAAGCCGGGCTCGGCGGTCTTGACGACCTGACAGAGCGCCTGGAGGATGCCCGTTGCCTGGAACGAGTTGGACGCCTCGCTCGCCAGCGCCTTGGCGCTGGAATCTAGGAATGCGACAAAGTGGGATCCACGCTGGACATCGGTGCGCTGAAACAGCCTGCCGAGGACGACTGCAGCAGCGTCGCGCTCCTTGCCCGGGCTCGCGAGGAAGTGCTGCGCAACCGACGCGATGCGGGACGCCGTCGAAAGCTCCGCTGTCTGACGAGCGCTGTCGAACTTGGCCAGGTCGAAGGGGATCATGCAGATGAGCGAGAGCCACAGCAGGCACACGTATCGCACCTGCCAGCAGGTAGACGCCGCTTCGGCGTTGTCACCGTCGGCTTGGTCTCGCAGATGCTCGAGAAAGGCGAGGGTGGGTGTAAGGTCAGCCACCTCGTGTGGGAAGTAGTGGACGATGGTCTTGTAGCCGCGCACCTTGGTGTAGGCGTACACCAGCTTGCTGAGCCTCGCTATTGAGTCTTCAGGGAGTATGTCGGATGATGCGACGGCGTTGGAGCCGGAGAGCGCGCGGACATGGCGCTGGAGGGCCTCGACGGGAGGCGAGACCATGCGGTGCAGGTAAGGGTCGAGGAGATGCGCTTGATCCTGGTATTCGTCGAGGATGGCAGTGAGGGCGCCGAGCACTTCATCTTGCGTCTGCGTTTTTGTTTTGTTGGGTGACGAGGTGGGATTGAGCGTGCTGGTGGTGGCATGTGAGGGAACAAGCTGTGACAGCAGCGAGAGGTATTCTTGTGCACGCTCGAAGCGGACGAGCTCCTTCTCCTCGATCAGTGGAGGTGCGCTGTCTATCATTGTGATAGACTCGGATGCAGCGATGGAAAGCGCTTGCGCGCTGGGTATATGTGGGCTCAAATAGGCCGGGCGGAGGCAGCAACAAGGTGAGCTTGACTGTTCAGAAGGACGGAGCGTGCGCGGTCGAAGGTGTTGGAGTGTTGGTCTGGCGCTTGGTCTCGGCTTTCGGAGGAAGAGAAAATCCGTAAAAGTGTTACATTTTCCAGACCATCCGCGGAGGCGTCACTGCAGAGGTTCCCGCGGAAGGCGCTGATGCGGCTGTACTCAGCCTTCTTGGACGGCGCACGGACATGACTCGATGTCTCGCCCATTCCACAGCTTTCATCTCTACTACCACACCGCACTTCCTCAAGATGGCAGAAACGAGCAAGACCACTGCCGACCAGCTGGTGACCGACGCCAACAAGGCTTTCTACGCGCTCACCGCGGCGGAGTACGACAAGATGGGCCGCGGCATGGTGGTGGAAGTGGCTAAGACGAACGCGGCCAACATCCTGGCGCGCGTGCCGGGCATCGACGCCTCGTCGACCGAGCTCATGGACTTTGCAGCAGGCACGGGTCTGCTAGCCACCTTTGTTGCGCCGCGCTGCAAGAGCGTCACCGCCGTCGACCAGTCGGAAGCGATGATCGATCAGCTGCGCCAGAAGCTCGACGCGCAGCAGGATGCCGCGAACCGCATCAGCAACATTATGCCCGTCGTCACGGACATTCTCGTCGATGGCGAGTCGAAGATCGCTGGCAAGCAGTACGATGTGATTACGTGCACCAACTCCTACCACCACCTGAGTGATCCTGCCAGGGTGACGCAGGTGCTGGCGAGCTACCTCCGTCCCGGCGGCCACCTCGCCGTGGTCGATCTGATCAAGACAAAGGACTCGGCTGAATTTCACACGGCCCCCAGAACCGTCGAGCAGCATGATGGATCGCATAAGCAAGTCGACGATTTTGGTGCCAAGACCAACGAGCACTCGCATGCACACGGTCATGGCGGCCACCATCACGGCCACGGCCACAGCCACGGCCACAACCACGAACACGTCATCGCCCACCGCGGCGGCTTCACACAGGCCGAAATGGAGACCTTCTTCTCGGGCGCCGGACTGAAGCTGGTCGACATGGGCAAATCGGCGCAGTTTGTCAAGGACGGCAAATCGTACGACAACTTTCTCGCCATCGCCCGCAAACCCCTCTAGCTAGCAATTCAAACACGCTGCCGAATCTTTTGTAGAAGTTTTGATCTATCGACAAGGGCGAGACGATCTGATATGAGCAGAACTCGGTCTAGGGGTACGACTCGAGCACGTTGTCCTTGTTTTCGAACCATGGCTTGGGTCCGTTTTTGAGCGCTTCTTGGACGTCGGGCCTGTCCTTGATGACGTCCCACTTGGGACGCTCGAGCTCGTAGCCGACGCTTGTGCGGGCGTACTGCAGCCCACCGATGCGCGTGATGGGCAGGGTCTTGGAAGCGTCCACTGCGCCCGTCTCGGGATGGATCATGTCCTTGCGGATGTGCATGACACGAACGCGGCCGAGGACGAGCGTAGTTGTATGCTTTCCCTCTGCATTGAGGATGTCGCGCGTGTACTCTACCTCGCACTCCATCGACATGGGCGATTCCTATTCGGCAAGAGCGAACCAGAGTGTCAGCAAGCATGGATCGCTGGAAAACGAGAATGTTGGAACGTACCTTGACACGTGGGGTCTGAATGACTTTGCTCTTGACTGGAGTGAGGCCGGTGAGAGCATATTCGCTGACGCCCGATGGGCAGTCGACCGATGCAAAGTTGAGCGCCTCTGCATACGGCTCTGAAGACGACGAAACAGAAAACTCCTGGAGACGCTTGATGTTGTTCTCGCTGTCCTTCCTGCGGTTCTCGGATCCACCAAAGGAGATCATGACCATGGCTGGATCCTGCGAGACCATCTGGTACCAGCTGATGGGAGCAAGGTTGGGACTGCCGTCCTCGTTGAGCGTGGTCACGAGCGCGACGGGCCGGGGCGCAATGGACGACACCATGAGCTTGTACATGGTTGCCGCCGAGACCTTGGTCTTGCCGATCTGGATCACGTGGTACTCGGCATCATCGGCGCCGAACGTGGCAGAGGCAGGATGGCTGTTGAGACCCTGACCTGCCTTGAATTCGACGTCGGGCGCCTTGGTGAGCGTGTAGGAGAGGCTC